TCTAAGCAGCTGGGAATGGCAACTACAACCTCTCCAGTCCTTTTTTCTCCCAGCCAGACAAAGACTACTCCTCCAGCATCACCTTGGAGGTCCTGTGCCCCAATCCCCTCAGGGGTTACCCTCTCCAGTTCATCAGTGTCTCAGCCCTGGACACGGTGTCCAGATGTGGCCTCATCAGTGCTCCGTAATGGGGGATAAACCTTCCCCTTGACCTGTTGGCTGAGCTCCTGCTATTTAAACATTAATTAGTCTCCTTAAGTGGTGAGCCAAGGGTGAAAGGTCAGAGAAATGAGACATTGCCACTCGGAGGGCAGGGAAGGGGTGAGACTGGGAGCTTGGCTCTTCATCAGTGGGTAGAAGTTTGCAACGTTGCACAACCTATTGCTCTGATACTGATAAAAAGGGACAAGAATCAAGATTAGGTTGACCAACAGGAGAGATTAACATCTCCGAGGCCGTGATTGCTGTGGCTTCAGCAATGCCTCCATCCGGCCCTATGTACCTTGGCCGGCTAAGATGGGAAAAACAGAGACATTTTTCCCACTTTGAGCAAACAGAGAGCCCTAGTTGATGCCAGCCATGTGCTGGGACACCCAGGGGTGGCATATCATGGGGCACAGCCTTGCATTGAGATGCCTAAGCCAATGGTTTGCACATTGCAGATAGACGCAGCATCACTGATCGCAGCCTCTGTGATGGCTGCGCCCTGTGCCCTTGCCATGTCCAAACTCGTCTACCCTGAAGTGGAAGAGTCCAAGTTCAAGGGCAAAGCAAGCATCCGCCTCACCAGTGGGTGAGTGTGAGGAGAGGGATGGTGGAGTGGGGCTGCTGCGGGGAACCCAAGGAGGCAATTTAGGGGCACAAGTGGACATTGCAGGTAGCCCAAGGCTGGGAGAACCCATGGTGCGCAGACATCCATGGAGTGAGAGCTGATTTTGCACAGGGGATGCCTGACCACATGAGCCAATTAGGGTCTTTTTCCATGCAGGGAAGAGCAGAACATCCTGGAAGCTGCGAGCAATGGGGCTGCTGTCTCCGTGGGCCTCGTGGCCAACATTGCAGCCAACCTCATTGCCTTCTTGGCAGTGCTGGAGTTCATCAATGCTGCCTTGCTCTGGTTGGGGCAGATGGTGAACATTGAGGGGCTCTCCTTCCAGGTATCCCCAGTGGCAGCCTCATGGTCTAGGGTGCCAGATCCCACATTCCCCACCTATCCCCACCTTTGCCTACTGCCTTGGTAGGCTGCTGAGACCCTTGCCAGGTGTTTGACAAATGTTGGTAGCATTTGTCCTAGCTGAGGGCTATGCAAATGGTCAGCTCTGAGTTTCTCCCTTCTGGGATGTTTTTCCCAGGTGATCTGCTCCTACGTCCTCAGGCCTGTGGCCTTCCTTATGGGGGCAGACTGGGCAGACTCGCCGCTGGTGGCAGAGCTCTTGGGGATGAAGATCTTCCTGAACGAGTTTGTGGCGTATCAGCAGCTGGCCACGTACAAGAAGAACCGTCTGTTGGGCCTGGAGGAGTGGGACGGGAGCCGGAAGCAGTGGATATCTGTGAGGGACACCTGCCACCCTGCCAGGCACAGGGCAGGGATGGAGCCAGCCATGGGACCTGGCCAAGCAGATAGGTGGTGGGAAGGCAGATGGATGATGGTGTTGAGGGTGGGACAGCACCTATGGCCAACTAGACTTGGATGTCTGCTCACTGCTGGGTACAGGGTCATCCTGAAGGAATCAGTAAAGCCCTTTTCCATTTATCCTGCTCCTTGGTGGGGCAGATCATGGTGCTACAGAGCCCCCATCCCCCTAGCCCAGACTCTCCCAGGGGTAGGCTGCCCACCACCTCCATCCTTGCTCCCAAAAATAGCTGAAGGAGAAAGGGTTGGGGTGGGGTACTTATCTCCGTCATGTCTGTCTGGGACCTACAATCTGGTGCTCAGCTCTGGGGCTGCTCCTAGGCTGAAGTGACTATCCCCTGCTGCTGTGTCTTCCAGGAGCGAGCTGAGAGCATTGCCACCTTTGCCCTCTGTGGATTTGCCAACCTCAGCTCCATCGGGATCATGCTGGGAGGCCTGGGTGAGTGTGACCCACATCCTGGGTGACTGGGCACAATGCAGGGGGATCCTGGTCGCAGATAGCAAGGGCTCAGCTGGGGCAGGAGAAGTTTTCTGGCCTCAAGCCTCCATGTTTGGTCTCTGCCAGCACACAGGTAAGAAACAGAATTTGCATGAGATGACAGGGATGATTTTGCACTGCACCCATGGGCGAGCACGTGCACATCCCGCAAGCCCAGATGCCACCCAGCTGTGGGGAAAAAAGCAGAGACTCCAGTGCTGAGGGCTCCGATGGACACCAATGGGTTCAGGGTGGGCACAGCGCTCTGCCAGCACCCACTGCTGCCAGGATGGGCAGTCAGTGTGCTGGTTGATCACTACGGGTTGGAGTGGGCAAGGCAGAGCCAACTGGGGACCTGGGATATGTCAGTATCTGTTCCCAACTTGGGATAGAGATGGAGCAAATATCTGACTTGCCTTTGTCTCTACTTTGCCCCTGCAGCCTCCATGGTACCCCAGCGCAAGGGCGACTTGGCATCCATGGTGCTGCGAGCCCTCCTCACTGGCATCTGCGTCTCCATGCTCAATGCTTGCCTGGCAGGTAGGTCCTTGTCCATTGCCAGTGGGGACAGAAAGAGCTGAGGAAGGACAGGCAAAGGACTGAAGACCACTATAAATGCATGTGCAGGGATTGAGATGGCTGGGCTGTCCCCGCCTTGGCTCTGCCAAGGTCTCCAAAGCCTCCTGGAGACCATGCTCTTCCCCCATGGCTTTGTCAGGTGCTGCCCAAACCCAATAGCTCTCTTGGGGCCCCTCATCCACAGCTGAGCTGGGATCAGGACATTTGGGCACAGCGAGAAACTCCCTGGGGTCACTGCTGTGACCATCTCAGGGGCAAGGTGGAACAGCAGAGCAAGCACAGTCCCAGGTACAGGATTTGCAAGCAAGCATAGTCAGGGTATGGGCTTTACGAGTAGGGTTGGGGTACAGGATCTGTGGGCAGGGTTGGGGACCAGGATTTGCAAGCATGTTCAGCTTATGGGATTTGTATGCATGGTTTATCAAGAGCACCAACCAGGACACCTTGTCCCCCAGGTCTTCTTCATGTGCCAACAGAAGTGGGTGACTGCGTGACCTTCCTCAGCACCGCCAACTTCAGCTCCACCAGCTACACCATGTACACGTGCTGCAAGCAGCTCTTTGCCAGGTGGGTGTGAAGAGCCTCAGAGCCATATGGTCCTGAAAGAAGGACCCAGGTGGTGGGGCAGCAGCTCGTCCTGACCACACTTCTCTCCATCCAGTTCGGTGCTCGAGAATGGGACGCTCTCCTTCACAGGAGCCTGGACTGGCCTGGAGGAGAGCGTGCTGTGGCTGACGCAGTGCTGTGGGCACTACAACCACACGTCCTGCGTGGGGACAACCTAGAACCATGCAGGCAGCTGCCTGCTCCAGCGATGAGGACCTGGGAGCACTAGGGTCTGCAAGACCTGTCCCCAAAGGTAGAAAAAAAACCAGCAGAGACCTCTGCGTTTGTTCTTCTCCACTCCAGTGATGATGGACCGCCACATGCACCTTGCAACCAGCACCCTTAAGTGCTGGACACAAGAAAACTCCCAAATAAATCATGGAACTCCCTGTGCACTTGCCCTCAGCCCCACTCTGACCCCTGACCATTGCTGTTAGACACAACACGAGGTGCTTTGCTCAGGCTGCACCCCACAACCACAGCTGCCATAGCCAGCGTTGGCTGCAGATCTCGCAAGACCAGCCTCTGCCAGGTGCCAGCTTTAGGGTCCAACCCTGGCCACCTTCTTCTCCCCCGTTGGGTGTGGATGGGGGTAAAGCCATTACCTGAAGATGTTTCCTTCCCCTGAACACAAAGCCGCCAGCAGATGCACCCTGCTGTCTTTGGGTGCATCTCTTCCACAGGAACCACAGTGCTGGGGAACAGGCCAGTCCTTCTCTCTTTATTGCACTCGAGAGCACCCAATCACCAGTGTGGCCATGTTATGTACATCGTTATTTTACAACGACCCAATAACAAAGCACCAGGACCCCAGAATATGCCGCATCCCCAGCCCGACCCCTTCCCTCCTTCGCCAGGCTGCACCGTGACACCATTTCAGACACCACCATGTGAGATGGTGTTGATGGAGCCCAGCACCCTCTCCAAAGCCCTAAGGAAAGTAACGCTATGCAGCAAGATGAAGCAGGTGGTGCTGGAGCTCCTTGCTGCCCACTGCCATGCTCTGAGGGCTGCTGCATGCCTGAGTGAGCTGACAGGCACAAGGGAGGCTTTAAGCAATGCAAGGTGCTTTATATGCCAGCATGAACATTGTTGCCTGTCCATCACTGCCACCTGCCAAGGAGCAGTGGGATCTGGAGAGGGTGCTGGTAGCTGTCACAGGGGTATGGCATGTGCCAAGCAGGGGTGATGCTAAGCTAGCATGACCAGGTCGTGCTATGGGGCTGGGCAGGGGGTACGGGGGTCTGTGTATGGTGGGTGGGCAAGGAGGGGGCAGGTCCTGCAGGCTGGATACCCACATGTGCCAAAGCAGCGCCTGGCATGGAGGCGAGATCTGAGATCCCTTCGCCCTGATCCTGGGTGTCCCGTGTGAGGTAGAGCATCTTGACTGTGGCGCTGGCCAGCACCCATAGCACCACCACCACCCTCAGCATCTGCTCAGCCAAGGGGTGGGAGGGTCACCCCGGGGCACAGGGGTGCAAAATCCCATCCCTGTGCAGCTGCCAGTACTGTCGCCAGCACCCTGCCATGGGACTGGCCTGCACCCCAGACCCCCACGCGATAGCAGCAGGAGCCCTGCAGCTCACTGCTAAAACCCTCTGCAGCAAAACCTCATAAATCACGTTGTGCCAGGACAGATGAGACCACCTTGGCGCTGTTTGGGCTCATGTCCTTGACAGAGAGCGCTGGCAGGGCTTGGACCAGTCACTTTATGGAGGACACAAAATGAGACATGAGGTGCTGGGAGCCAGGGGGCAGCTTGGACTCCCAGTTTGGAGCCAGGCAGGGCGCATGGCACGTGCAAAGCCCAAGGGAGCAGGTGTGACAACCCCTGCCTTAAAGAACACAAAATGGAGAGTCGAAAGAGGAAAGTCAGCCCAAGCGTGGCGGGACACGTGTCCCCACAGGCTCCACCACCGGCAGCAGCTCTTGTCAAGAGGTATTGGCAAAGGGGTCCATGCTGCCCATAGCCCCCCTGGCCCCGGCTGAGCCGCTCACACTAGCACACACCACACAACACCGGGGCAGGAGCCAAAGGGAGGAGAGCAGTGGCAGCAGCTGCTGCCAGGGTCTCCCCTTCCCAGTCTGGTTGGGTGCTGACTCTGGGGGTTCCAGCTGCGGCGGCTCTGG